TGTCATAAGATACATGTGTTTTGTGTGGAGAACCCTTGCCAAGCGGTAAACTCAAATCCTCGAACACTGCCGCTGATCGTCCGCGGCCGCTTATTCAGTGAGAATTAACCCAGCTTACTCTCAGTAAGCCAGTTAGCTGCCGTTCCCTTATCCGTGACCTGAGGACGCGCTCGGTAGCGTACATCTCTGCTCTTGCCGGGTTTTGCCGGAGTAGCTGCGAAAGAATCCGACGCTGATGGTCAGCAAAACTGTGCTTTGAAGTGCTACACCCAACATGCAAGACATCTATGTTGATTACGAGTAGATGAGCCGTTAGCTCCCCAAATCCTTGGTGGTGGCGCAGTGGTTTAGTAGCTGTCACTGGTTCGAGCCCCGCCACTGCCACTCACCTTTGGTGGTAGGCAGCTTTACTGTTGTCCGGTTCAATATCACGCCTAACCTAGGGGGTATTTATGTGGTTCGCCACTCCGGGGCTTAGGTTACCGATTTCCATGACGCAGCAAAAGGTCTTCGTGACTATGGGGTTCGCCCCGTCTGCTGTTCACCACATAAATGTGTTATAAAAAACCTTCACCGAGTGCTTTCCTTCCGGTGACCCGGATGTGCTGAAACAACTTACAGGAACTTTCCGTGGTACAGCATGCTGTATCTCTGATACATGTTGAGACCGCCGGATTTCTCTGCCTCTGTGTGCGCTTACGTTAAGTTCGCGTTTCGTTAGGAGCCGTGTTTGGTCGCTGCTTATTCAGTGACCATTGTGAGAATCAGGAGGATGTAGGTTTGGTTTTCACGCATCTTCTTGTTTGGTTAGGAGTCTTTTTTTGCTCACTCCCCTGGTAGTTCACTTACCCCGCTATAGCCCCATGGGTCGGCAGAAGACTGACCAGGGTTCCATGGTGCTTAGGGAATGCTTTTGTTTTAGTCCGAACCATCATATTTCTTGATTTTAATTGGCCATTCTTCAGACTTATCTTCACACAATTCGGTCAAACAACAACCCTTTAAACACTGGACTGGAGTTTCGCCCTTTTTTAGAGCTCATCCAGACCCTTAGTTTAGGAAGAATGTGTCTTCTCATTGTGCCATCTGACTCATTCTTCGGCAAAAAATTTCGATTCCAACTGAAGTATGAATGCATCTACTCATTTTAATTTTAATTTTAAGCTTCAAATCGTCACTTTCTGTAACAGTAGCATAATGCCATGGTACCGAACACTCACGCGAGCTTATATGCTCGAAAATATTGATTAAATTCCAACTGTTTTTTGCCTTATCCCATCACGTATCTCATTTAATGCTACCAGCTTGTCAAACTAGTTACCTGCGAATAATCTTCACAACATTTCACGTACTTCCTTTTCATTGCTTATTATCCTTCAGGTTGTAGTTTGTCTTCTGATTGTTGATCCAGGCACGAAACAGTTAACGGGCTCACTTCTGCCCCACCTATTGCCGCCAAACAGTCCGGAGTACAATGCAAGTTCTTCCTTTGACACCTTGACCATTGGAACGAGATTTCCGAGCGCAGTTGTGGATCGTGTGGATAAGCGCACTATTCATGTGCGACTGGACACCAAGAACGGTGTCCAAGGTGTAATCCGAGTAAGACTGCTATTTTCAATTCGCATCACTTTTTGACGAGACGAGTTTCAGCAATGTGGTTTGCTTTGTATTGCACGGTAATTGACGTTACCTGGTCACCTGCTTCAAGCTGTGATGTCTAACATTTTTTTATGAATGAAAAGCGTAATTTACAGTAAGCGAATAAATCACCATGATCACAAAAAACTGCCGTACAGAATTTTGTACAAAAGGCCACAGTAGACATGGGGATAGGGGAACATTCACCCAAAATATCAACTTGTTGATTCTGCACGTGAATGTGAAAACGTTATCAGAAGGAGGAAAAAGAACAGGACAGAGTGTTCCTCAGTCTCGT